GGATCGATGCGTTTGAATTGTGGTGCTGGAGAAGAATATTGAAGGTACCATGGGCTGCTAAAAGGACAAGCCAACCTGTCTTGGAAGAAGTAAGGCTAGAGTGCTCTTTAGAGGCAAGCATGGTAAGACTTCGCCTTACATACGTTGGACATATTGTCAGGAGACAGCAGTCCCTGGAGAAGGACATTGTGCTTGGTAACATATAGGGGCAGTGACAAAGAGGAAAGTCCCCAAGGAGATGGGTTGATACAGTGGCTGCAGCCACGGGTTCAAGCGCAGGAACAATTGCGAGGATGGTGCAGGACCGGGCAATGTTTCATTCTGTTGTGCATCAGGTCGCGATGGGTCAGAACCAACTTGGTGACACTTAACAACAACAACAACAACGGACATACCTGTCAGTGTGCCCCACCAAGCAGGTTTTTGTCTCCTTTCTTCAGGAGTGCGTTCCATATCCAAGTCCCTTTCCTTTCCATAGAGAGCTAGTGATTTGTTTTCCCATTCATTTAAAGAGTGTTAACGTAATCTGTGTGGGTCCTGCATTATGATCTACATATCTCCTGTCCTACGATTGACATTTTCGCCATGTTACGTCTTTCTATCCATGAGCATGGTGTGTTCTTTCGTTTATGTAGCTTCTCCTTCTGGTTTCTCGCAGTAGTATTTTGTAGTTCTCTTTGTATACATACGTCTTTATATTTCTGGTTAGTTTATTCATAAGTATTTTACTTGGGGGAGGCAGCTGTTTTGAAGAACGTGTATTTTTCCTGATTCTAATTTCAGGATTCTCTTTGTTACTGCAGAGGGATTCATGATACATTGATAAACCTTTGCTTTTCCCCCTCTAGAAGTAAGAAATTTAGCCACTTTCACATTCCATTCCCTAAAAACACCTGAAGCTTGAATATGGACAAGGCCCTCCAAGCAGAGGATGGACAGTCTGAGAACTGGATGGCCTGTCTCAAGCTTGGTCACATAAATGTGTTGATTTTTCAGAAATTCCCCTCCACCAAGATTGTGTTAGGCTGGGTTGACTAGAGAAACAAATCCAGTGGCACTCATATATGTGTAAGAAAGAGCTTAATATCAAAGAAGTAGTTACATATCGGTAAAACGTCCCAGTCCAACTCGAGTCCATAAGTCCGATACTAGTCCATGAGTTCCTCTTCAGACTCACGCAGCCACATGCAGTGATGCAGAATGTAGAAATGTCACAGGCCAGTGGGTGCAAAGTCTTGTGGAGCCAATGGTGGTGGCCCCATTTCCAGGGGGTTGGCAGCAACCAGGGTCAGCCAGCAGGAAGGTGAAGGCAGGGAGAGAGAGTGGAGGTTCCCAGGACCCTCCTTATGAGAAGGCCACACCCACAAGGAGTCACCATCAGGCTGTGACCTGATTGACAGGCTAGACTCCACCCCTACATTTTCATATGTCTTCAAGTTGACATGAAATTATGTCACAACACAAAGATCACCAGCTTCTCCATGAACTTTGGTTCTTTCCTGAAACTTCCTTTCACTTTGCCTCTCAGAACACTTCTTAACCTGTTGCTGGAGGGGGCAGGTTTTGCCAGGCAAGATCCACTCTGTGTCCTTGAACGCTGGTATTCAATAAAGAACCTCTCCTTTTCATTCATCTTATGAATTGGCTTATTCGTAGTGGGCTGCCCAAATGAACCATGTTGCATGAACAAAAGTAGCACCAAATCTATGGTAAATGAATTGGATCAAATAAGGTCTTGCTCAAGAAATAAAATATTCAAGAACTCTAGGAAGACAGAAATTGACGTGCCAAAAAAAATTATACTCGCTTATCAAATTGACTCTCTCTGTCTCTGCAAACCAATGTGAAACTGATCAGAGAGAGAGAATTTCTCAAAGTGCCCACTGAATTAGCTTTCTGTACTTTTTATAGTCTCTCTCTCTCAAGTTGCTTGGGATTTCTCTGTTCACTTTAACCGATCACTTTTGTTAGATGAGTTAGATTGCCCTCACTGCATATCTCACTCGTTCCCTCCTTGCTAATGAGGTCTTCATACCCATCTTGAGCTGAGATCCTTTGCTAGCAGAATTAGTCACCTAGCAACATCTGTTAAAAGAGTTCTTAACTATCTTTAATCTTGTTTGGTTTGCTCCCTGCCCCCCCCCCCAACCTTGTAATCCAAGTACCTTGTGTGGGGTTAAAGGGGAGAGGGAACCCCACAAAACATCACAGGTTTGGTAGGTGCAATTGTACAGCGATAATAAGTAGAGATTATAGTAAAGTCATAGAGAGCATGAGAGTTAAAGGATGGAGTCAAGTAATGGAGTCAGACACAATTCATGGTAGCATTGCTCACCTCAGCCCCGCTTGATGGTTCACGTGGAGGGCGCGCCTTAAACTTTAATGCTTCCCAAGCTTCTATCCTATCTGGGGACATGCAAGCCCCCTAATTACAGGCGAAGACATACGTCACAGGAAGGGGCAGTACAATAGGCATACACATTGTAGTAAGGGGATGTATGATAGGCATAAGTGTAACAGGAAGGGATGAGCTAGAGGTGTGCCCATAGGAATGGGAAGGTCTAGGGGTATACATGTGACAAGATGGGCGGACCCTAGATTCATGATGGCTACCTAACCTTGGTCATCCTTGGGCAGGTTTGACCTCTCTGGCATCTCCTACAAGGAAACAGACAACTACTATCCTTATCTGAAGGAAGTGGGCCCTACTTGTGGGATACACAGTGGTGTTTACTTGTTCCAGATGTCTGATAGCTCTTAAGGAGAATGACCCCTAATCTACTCCTGATGACCTCCAAGTGTATAGTCATTCTAAGCTAAGTCTGGCATATATTTTGGGGAGACAACTTGGGAGAAATCTTTCTGTTTCCCACACCTTGTATGAGGGAAAGGGAGGTGTCGGTAGTATATTACCGTCATAGACAGTGCACGCTATCCCTGGAGAGTGTGGAAGGCAGCGGCCAGGGTACCGCACAAGAGTTCTTGACTGAAGAGGGCTGCTTCCGGGAAGCACAAAATCACGTGGAAGAAGGAGTGCTGGGACCGAAAAAGGGCAGGTGAGCGAGCGTGTGTGTGTGTGTGTGTGTGTGTGTGTGTGTGTGTGTGTGTGTGTGCTGTGACTTTTGCTTTTGTTTCAACGCTGCAATGAACGTATCACAAAGCAGCCTTTCTCCTGGATGAGCGTTAATTTGCTTGCTGTGGTCTCTGAACAACTTCCAGCGTTCCCATACATTTGATTCTGACAGATTTGCAGGAACATTTTGGAAGTCTTTTTTGAGGCGGGGATGCCGTGGGGGGGGATGAACCTGAGGGACGTGGGTGTCCCTACTCAACCATTTTGGCTGAAGTCCCTTGTCAAAGAGCAAAGTGACACTTGTGTTCACATTAAAGAGGTTATTGAAGAAGTGAAGCCACCCATGGCCAGGCAGTACCTTGTGAGGATCCACCAAATATGAGGGGAAGGGAATTTTCCCGAGCTTAACTACACAGGATCCAGGAACTTCCAAGGAGAACATTCTGATTGGTTGACAGCTACAAAACCACAGTTAACACACCCAAGGCAATGCAAGTGGTAAATGCTTTTCTTGGGAGCAGTGTGGCAGGGAGAGGCGGGTGGAGGAAGATGCCTACAGACTTCTACAGGTATACTGGCACAGTAAACAGACACCATAAAGACAGAGTCTGGCCTGCATCTTTGCCAGAGGCCTCTTTGTCTACCAAGCACCTAGTTCTTTGACGCTCCTCCTTCACGTGGTCTGACTATGTTCTTTTAAAGAAATCCATTCATTTTGGGCTTCTGGAATTTCATTGCCTTTTTTTTTTTTAACTTAGCTAGAGACTGTGGCAAATGACGTATTTACTCTTCTTGAAAGAAGGTGCCTCCTTCTCTCATTCTGCAAAGATCCCCTGCCTCCGTTAGGAAGTCTAGGAGCCCTGGTGGCATAGTGGGTTACTGGTTGTATGGCAGACCACAAGATCAAGTTCGAAACCACCGGCGGCTCCAGGGGAGAAAGATGAGGCTGTCTACTCCCAAGAGGATTCATAGTCTCAGGAACCCAAAGGGGAGCAGTTCTAGCCAGCTTGATCGTCAGAATGTCACGAGTCAGAATCGACCCCTCCGGAGTGCGGTACTCGTTGGCGTTTTAATCTCTTCTTCTCTTCTTCTTCTTCTCTCTCCCCCCGCCATCCAGGAGGAGGCCAAGTGTTTCTGAGATGAGAGGGAAAGTTCGAAGGAAGGCACAGAGAAGAGAGTGGGATTCGGGGAAAATATAGATAAGAGAAGTGAAGGCATTGGGGGAAAGGGGACTCAATGGTGGGGGGTGTTAAAGAGAGACTATGTTAAGGAGTCCATGTAGAAGAAGAATGTTTGGAAACGGATTGTGGTAGCAATGGTACAATTCTACTTGACATGATGGAAATAGGGCATGATAGGATAGATGTATTAAATCCCAACTAATTATTAATGAGAGAGAGAGAGAGAGAGAAAGGAGACGGGAGTGGGGAGGGGTGCTATAGGGGGGCTCTAGAAGAAGGATCAGAAAGGATGGTGCTGGGGGCCCCTCGGGGGAGCAGGGAACCAAGAGGAAGCTGTCTGTGGAGGGCAAGGAAATCTTCCGGGAGAGAAGACTCCAAATGAAGGCTGATAGCAGGTCGGCTGGTGGAAGAAGGAAATCTTTTCCCGGAGAATGGATTGAAGCCTTTCTGATATGGCTTGGCTGCTCTTTTCCAGCATGTTCCAGGGCCTGAAGGGCCATGAGTGGTTATCCACGAAGACTCTCCAGCAGTACTCAAACTCTACAACAGGAGCAAGGAGGCAACGTCAAGCCCCAGCCACACAAGAGCCACAGGGGTGGGCAACCCCTAGGGACCGATCTTCGGCACCCGGATTTTTTACCCCTTTCTTTCTCTTTCCCACCCATCCGTGCGACAACGGGGCTCCGATACCACCCTGAAAGAACAGGTCTTCCGGTCTAGCTTTTCTTAGACTTAAAATGCTCAGAAGAGCACCAATCTGTTCAATGATTTGAATTCCACCACCGCCTCTCCCTCTGCCTCTACGCTCACCTTTGGCAGTCATGATGGACAGCTGGGCCCCGGCATCCCGCAGTGAGCGGAGCCCCTCTTCGTAGCCGGCGTGGTAGGTATGGAGGCGGGCTGCAAAAATGCGTAGGCTCACGTGCCTGTTGCTTCGCAGGAAGTCGCTCACTTTGGAAGCACACCTAGGGCAGGGGCTCCAGGAGAGGAACCAGGTGACCTGACACCACTGCCCTGGGTACAACCTCAAAGAAGACATCCTGATCAGGAAGCACAGCTCTGCGTGACAGCGTCGCTGGGGATCGGGATGATGCTGAGCATGGGAAAGCAAAGAGAGTGTTACCTTGCCACCTGTGAGCAGGCAGGAGGTCAGGAGCCAGTACAGCCTCCAGCACCAGGTGAGAGGGTCCGTGGAGGGTCCCACATCACCTCTCTTGCATTAAAATAGGGTTCCTTTTCCTTGCTGATGTCTCGGGGTCCTCTCTAATTTTATACCCAAGGCTTTCATAGCCAGCCCCTTCAAGCTTAACCCTTCAAGGAAGAGAGAAAGAGTTGGAGGAGGGAGGGGGGAGGAAGAGGGGAGTCAGGTGAGCCCCAGGTTCTTTGGCCTGATGCCATCGGATGGGCCAAGCTTCCTTCATGGAGGGATTTATGCCCCAGCTTCTATCGCCCAAACATTTTCGACCTGCCTGCTCACAAACCAATCAGTCCACAAGCTTCTACTGGGCCACACCCAGGGACACAGGTTCCGTCAAAAGAGCTCCATGGGCTGGAGGAATAAGGACAAGGGCCTTTAAAAGGACACCTCCCAAGGGTGATGGGAGGACAACCATTGCTGCACTAATGGTATCGGGACACTGGAACCAACAGCAATGGCGAGGATCGCAGCCAGGGACTAGGATGGAGCCAGGCCACGGTGACAGTGTGAGAAATGGCAGGGTGTGATGAGGGTGTCCAAAGCGAGGCAAGAAGCAGCCATCGGGCCATCCCTGAGCCAAGGCTCCTTGGAGAGGCAGGTGTGAGGACTCTTACGAAGCACCTGCCAGCAGGGGATCAGATCTAGCCCGTCCAAAGTGACCAGCAGGTACCTATGTACCGGAAGCCAGAACTAACAAAGGCCGAACCTCCGGACACGAGGCTGTCCCAGGCAGAGGGCAGGGAGGGATATCCCTCACATCCACGGCCCCTCAGCCTGACCTTACTCTCCGCCCAATTCTTGAGGACCCCTTGTCCCCACAGCACTGTAGGCACACCCCAGTCAGGGTTTTCTGTTCAACTTTCTGCCCCAGAGCTTTCTTCCACGGCGACCAAGCACAGAAACTGACACTTGGGAATTGTGTCTGGTGAAAGTCAGCATGTGAGCTACATTGAAGTCACAAACAAAAAGTAGAGTAATGATGGTTTTCAAGAATGTTTTTGTCCCGCAGCTCTGATGTCACCCATCCTGGACAAAACCCAAAGGGTGTAGGATGATTCTAAAAACGGGGCATGGTGACTTGTTGCCAATGTGTGACCTGAAGTCCATCGCAGAGGGTCACCTACAGCATTTCCCATCTCCATCCAAGGGCAGGGAAGACCCCCCCACCCCCGTGGGACAGCATTCAGAGGGGTGAGAAACTTTGTGGGACATCAGAGAACCTACTATGCCCCAAATGGAATGGGGAGGGCCGGCCCGGCCAAAGTTGCGCTGAGATAGTCACCTGGTTATGCAGGACGCCTCTGATCATGCCCAGGGGGACCCTGAAGCGGACATCAAAGAGCTGCACCTCGTAGCACAGGTAGGTCATGTGCCGCCCACGAACTGACTGGTCATTTTTGAAGTGATAGATAAAGATACGGTGATCCATAGGTCTGTAAGGATGAGGAGGGAGAAACAATGTAGAGAGCTCTCCCATGGTGCCTCAGCCCTACCTCTGAACCTAGTGCTCCCTTACTAGGTGGTGCAGTGAGCCGCTCACGGGGCTGCAGTTCAAATCCACCAGCCGCTCCTCGGGAGAAAGATGTGGCTGAACTCGTCATGTTTTTGCTCCAATTTATTCAGGTTTCTTCATACAGTCTGTTTCTTTCAGTGTCATTTTTATCAGACTTTCTCCCAAGAAAAATTTAAAATTTGTCTAAATTTCTACTTTAACACGCAATATTTTGTTTTCTCTTTTTTTCCCACTCACAGAGATAATTCATCCTTAGTCATCTCTTGAAAATATTTAATTTCCAGCAATGCTTGTTTTCCACAAGAGTTGCCATAGTGGTACCAGACAAAGTATATTTTTCGTCAGAAGTTTATACTAAATGAAGGAAAATGTCGCATAACGATAAAAGAGCCAAGTAGCAGTCAAGAACTCAAGCGAGGGATTCCACTGCACAAGGGACTTCTTGAAAGTGCTGAAGAGCAAAGAGGCGCTAAGGACGAGGGCACAACCGGCCCCAGCCCTGGACTTTCAGTCGCCTCCTGTGTGTGTGGCCAGTGTATAAGGGAAAAGTATAAGACAAGTGACAGAGCAGCGGATGCATTTGAATCCCGTTGTACGTGGAGAATACGAATATGTCGTGGCTATCAGAGCAAACACGGAAGAAGGGTGGGTAGCCAGGACAAGCAAAGCCTTTTGACCGGAAGTACAGCCAGAATGCTGCTCAGAAGCGGGTGGTGAGACTGTCTCACATAGGCTTTGGCCATGTTATCCGAGAGACCAATCCGGAAAAGGACGTCGTGCTGGATAAAGTTCAGCCACAAGAGAGGGAGACCTGCCGAGAGATGCGTTGGCACCGTGGCGGCAACCATTGTGCAGCTGGCAAGGCCAAGCAGTGTTTTTCTCCTTGCTTCATAGAGGGTCGCCATGAGTTGGGACTGGCTGGACCTGTACCTCACCACAATACACAGGTGCACATGGAGAATTGTTTAAAGCTGGGAGTTAGGCTTTAGACGATCACTAAGTTCCCGAAGTCATTTGCATCATTTCCCAGAATTGAATCTAGGGGAATCCAGGCTCCTTGGAAA